TATATATATAGAAATTATATATCAATAAAAATATATAATTGACATTGACATTTAGAAATAAATTTAAAATATGAAACTCGGGATTTTTCATTTATCCTCAAGGAATTAAGAATTATTTGAAAGAAATTTCAATTAAGGGTAATGCACTCTACAGGGATAAAAGCACCCAAGACACAATGTTTCCAATTTGCTTAGGCAAAAAGTTAATAGAATTTAAAACCATATATAAATATAAAATCGAAAAACAAACATTTTAAAGTAATGTATAAAGCAAGGAATGAAACATTCATTAACATATTAATGAGCGAAGGAAAAATATTTTTATTCCGTAGCTAATTAAATCATGACCGTTTGTTAAGAAAATATGCAAAATTTATTTTAGTTTTATTTGTAGCACTAAATTCAAGGTAATTATTTAAATAACTATAATAATTTCTCGACGAAGTCAGTTAATTTTCCATTTCTGATATAAAAAAAATTACATATTTCTCGAAAAATGAGTATTTGTTTTATATTGCAAATTCTCTTCTTTTATTATGTTAATCATCAATTAAAAAATTAATATTTATTGTTTACTTACATAATATAATTAAAATGTTGTTTAAACCTTGACAATTTTTGATGCTTAGAATTTTTTGTTTATTTAAAATAGAATGACTGAAGATTTGACTCCAACCGTTGTACTTCGTAACAACAGGCTGGCAAATCCTAAGGACTCTGATGCTGAAATTGCAACCGGAAAAGCATCACCAGAAAGCTGTGAAACTTCTAAGGATTGGTAATTTACATTATTTGAAATATCCTAATTTTTCTAACTATGAGTGGATAAGTTTACATTTAAATGTTTCATGCTTTCAATTTTTAACTGTGAAACTTCTGAGGGTTCAAATAAATTACATTATTTGAAATGTCCTAACTTTTTCCAACTATTCAACTATAGTGTCGGAAATGAGTCCAAGAAATATACATAATAAAAGTCATAAGTAAATGGAAAAAAAAGCGTTAAAATCATTATCGAGGAAAACAGGAAGATATTAAAATCGGTTTGGTTGACCACCAAAACATGAAAGCCGTTTTTCATCTCGTCTAATTTTCCTTCAGACAGCTAAAAAGTTTCAATACTTTTAACTTTGCTTTTTTTTCGTTCTTGAGTCATCAAGAATTTATAAAAATTCTTCTTGCTTCATTTTTGACAATGATTTTAAAAATATATATTAAGAGGTGATTATTATGGAACACAATATAAATATTATTTGAATTTGTGTGATATGTTAAAAATAGCATACACAGCAATTCAGATATCAGTCTATAGAAAATAACAACCAAATATTTTATGCGTATAGTTAAGTAAAAAATAATTTTTGAATTTGAATAATATATTAAAAACCACGTTCTCGGTAATTAAGATATCAAACTGTAGAAAATAATAACCAAATATTTTATGTGTACAGTTATTTTTTGAATTTGTAAAATATATTAAAATTCACGAATTCTGCAATTTAAATGTAAGTTTCTAGAAAATAATGACCAAATATTTTATGCAAATTTTATGTAATATTTTAAAGTTATGTAATTAATATTTTTTGAATTTGTATAATGTGCTAAAAATCACATACTCCACAATTTAGATATCAGTCTATATAAAATAATAACCAAATATTTTAAGTATGTTTGTTATATCTTATTACCGACTCTAATTATAAATTTAAGTATAAAACTGTTCCTGTATAAATTTTGGTTAGTTATTCTTAATCCCGAACAAATTATAAATTTCAGAAGAAAAATAGTATAAATGAGAAAAAAAATTATTATAGTAATTAATGCTTGAAAATTTTTATAAAATTTAATTAAATGCAATAATATGTTTTTGGAAATATTAATTAATTGAAGCTTAATTAATTAATTGAATTTTTTCATGTTTTCAGTGGGACAGAGAAAGAAGAATCCACTGAAAAATGCCAATTTTCTGATCCACTACAAAGTGGCAGCAGAGACATAGATTCAGATCCAGAGGACGATGCTCAAGGATCTAGAGGTTACTTCGCAGAAACAGTTGATTTTCCAGATAGCCCCCTTCATTTGAAACTTTTGAAAAAAAGGAGTAGAGAGGCTCAAGTAAGTGCTCATTCATAATTGAAGATTTTAATAAAAAGATGTTTTAAAAGATATTTTTGAAAATTTACGATTTTTCGGGATGAGATCTTATTTTAGTCGTGTTCAATTGTGCAGCATAAATTTTTGTCAAGTCTTTGAATCTGGTAGATTTTAGTGGATGAAGGTATTAAGTGACAGTCTTTAAGTGGCTTCGGAATGGAAGAAGATTCCTAGTGCGTTTAGTCAAAAACAGTCGACGAATAATTAGAAAGTCGTTCTTTTGGCAGCAAAGCAAATCGCCAAGAGTTCAAATGCTAAAACGCCAAATTTTTAAATGAGTTTAGAAATTTTCAGATTTCGCTAAATGGAATCTTGTTGGCAAGAAATAAAAGCAAGGCATAACTATATTTTTTGTCAATGTGTAAACTTTAAAGTTTTTTCATTAAAGTGTCTTTCGAATCTTTATCCACTTAATTATTAAAGAAAATGTTTCATGCGATTTGAATTTAAATAAATGCCAAGAACTATTTAGCAGGATTGGAAACGCAACATTCAAAATTGACCTAAACTCAGTGGCGCGACAGCCCATTGAGGGCCAAGGCCTACTGTGTCCATCTCAGTTTTCTGGACCTTGGGCTCTGGGGTGCAGGAGCAGATGTTCCGGTTAGGTGGTTAGCCGAACGCGTAACTCCCAGAGTTCAGTTCCCAAGCATGCTTTGTACTCATTTATCTACCCACTGAAGGGATAAAAGACTGAGTCAACCTCCGCCCGAGGATCAAACCCAGGACCTGTGGCATGGGAGCGCGAAGCGCTACCACTCTACCACCTGGTGTCCCGTAATTATGTAGCTCATGTGAAATTGTATGAACTTCAAAATTTAAACTTTTGTTATTAAGTTAAATTTCTGTGTCTTGATACAATTATTTTCTTACAGGGTCTTGATACGGAGGATGATGATGAAGAAGAATCAACAACTTTTTCTATTATGGGAAAGGGTCATCATCCACCTAATCGGTCCAGAAAAGGTTACATTTTATGAAAAAAATTTTGATCTTGAATTATTTTATAATATATATTTCATATTTTATAAAATATTTTTTATATTTTATAATATATTTTTTATATTTTGAAATATATTTTTTATATTTTATAACATTTTATAGCATTAATATGAAACTTCTGCTGCCATAGAAAACGTTTTGGTAAGAAGGCCATATAAAACTTCTGAAAAATGTCAAATTTATATTAAAAAAACCAGAATAAAATACTGCAAAATGTCAAAAAATACATTTTAACAAACTGCAGAAAAATAAAAATAAACGCTTAGCATACTTATACGTAATAATACGAGATGTAATACAAAAGTACCTTATTTAGATCACGTCCGGAAGATCTTGAGCCTTTGGAGTCATAAAGGCCCGTGTCATACCATGGGTCGTGAAGGGAGAATCACAGAATCACGGTCCTGAAGGGGTTAAGTGCATTGTACCTTTAAATGCGCCATTTTTGAATTTTTATTTGAATGAATTTATTGGGAATTAATTTTTAGGAACAAAAATAAATTCGCATTCAGTACTTAAAAATTAAAGTTGTACTCATTTTCAGTGACCGCGGAAGTGTCTTAAGATTGAGAAACGGAAGTTAAATATATAAGCTATATGAATGCAAATAAAATTTCTACATGAAAGTAGACTATTTACTAAAAGTATTTCAATCAAATGTAACGACGAAAACTTAAACACATAATTATTTGGAGGCGTATTGTATAAAGTGGTATTTAGTAAATCATATTTATCCAAAAATGTATGAAACACTTAACTGAAGTAGCTAATAAATTAAGAGTAGCACATAATTTTAATAATGAATAGCGTGCAATGTTACATAATTTCAAAGTTTTATACCATTAATTTAAAAATTAGGCTTACATAAAGCTTAATAAGCTAAAAATAAAATAAAGGCATCTATCATTATATGAAAATAATTGATTTTTCAAATGTTGGTAGACGCCTTTATTGTGAAGAGCTGGAGGCAGTTAAATGATAAGTCACATTTTCAAATTGTTCAGGAAAACTACGGGCATGAAGATGTTTCTATGTTTTGTGTTGTTATCTTGCGGAATATAGTAACACTTGTGAAATACCTGTCTAAAATTTATACTATATAACTTTATAATATATACTATATACTTTATAATAACAATTTTGAGGTAAAAATGTCATTTTTGAAAAACTGTGACTTATCTTGCCCCAAACCCTTCAATACGCATTCGTATTCACTAACAATGCCCTCCTTTTTTCAGAGAGACCTAAAACTCTAAGTACTTCTAATGCTAAGAATGTGGATTCACGACGCAAAATAACGGTAAATCCAGATATTCTTAGTTCAGATGTTCTTAAAGATGATGACCAAAGAAGCATTGACTCTTTAAGTAATAGAAGTGATGGATTCACAACTCTCGATGACCTAGCTACTCCGGATGATATTGATACTCCAGATGATCTGGATGATGATTTATTTGATAGTAAATATTTTTCAAACTAATATATTAAGTAAAAAGGAGATAACAATAATTCCATCATAAAATTAACTAGATAAGTGAAACCTGGTGTATAGGGTGTTCTAAAATGAATTTGAATTACATTTTGAAGTTAAAAAAATAGTTATATAAGGTTATAATATAAGGTTATAATAGTTATATAAGGTTATAATATAAGTTGCATAGTTATACAAGTTATAATAGTTATATAAGGTTATAATAGTTATATTCACTGCTTGAGCTTCTTGCTGTTATAACTAAAAAACTATTTGATGAAATAATAGGAAATTTTGAACATTTCTATAGAAATGTTTAAAAATCCATTCTGATATCAAAATGTTATAGATGCGGTCATTAGTTTTTTTAGTTATTTTGTGACGAAGTTGATTTTTTCTTTCTTCTTTTTTGTCTCGCTTAATACAGTTTAGCGAAAGCTATTAACAGGAGAATTATGATTATTTTGTATCCTTTTTTTCTTAAGTCTTTTTTGGAATTATTAAATTTTAAATTCTTGGTATTTTTTATACAATTCCAAATGGTTAACAAAAAATACCTATTTTTTCCTGTTTTTAGACACAATCCCAACCAAATATTCTTCTTTCGTCAATAGCAAAATTTTTCTTAGATTAGTTTAAGTATGGAGCTCAATATAAATATTTAAAGAGACTAATTTCGAGTCTGTGATCAATTGTTCTATGATTTCGAGTCTGTGACTCCAAAGTGACGTCACCTGTATGTAAGGTCAGACTATCCTCCTCCTTTAGTATTTTTCATTTTAAATCTTTGCAATTTCAATTTTAAAACAATTAATATTTTAGCAACTGAAGAAATTCGAGACGATGGAGGCCATTGGAAATCATGCGTAGTTGGTGGAGAGGAAAGGCGTATTGATATGAAAGTTATTGAACCTTATAAAAAAGTTTTATCACATGGAGGTGAGAATATTCTTACTTTAAGTTTCCTTCATTAAAAAATGTATTTACATAAATGAGGCTGTTTTTCCTTACATTTTTCAAAGCTGAAGAAAAATATTATGAATGAAAAATCGAAATTCGAAATCGAATTTCGGCTTAAAATTTAAATATATCCGCATCAATTATTATTAGTTTGATTTCAAATCCAAATTAAGTCTTATGATATGAAAAGACACTAAAAATTTAATTTAGTGCGGATATAATTAAACTTTGGGTTTAAATTTGCAATGGCATGAAAAACAAAAGTCTAAACTGCACCAAATTTAATGTAAAAAGTACTCGAGACAACAAATTTTAACGATTTTAGAAACTAGATCTGACGTAAAAACAAAAGAGAGAAGTAAAGCAAGAAAATAAATTAAATTATGAGATGTTACGAGGGATAGTTTATGTAAAAAAATTATAACTGTAGTTAGTTAAATACTTTTAAAACTAGATTCAATAAAAGATAAATGATAATTAAACTGCAGATCTAAAATTCTCTAAAACGTTTTGATTCCATTCAATAGATTTATGTAAGATGTATAAACTTTAGAAAAAGTAGATGACAAGTAGTAGACTTCAAATTTCTTATAACATTTTAGTTTGTGTCATCATTTATTTTGAACAGAATTTAATCGAAAGACCTCACATATTCAGACTAAATTTCTGTTTCCTCAAAAATAAAATAAAGCATACCAAAATTTTCCTTAGGCAATTTACTATAAAGATAGCAAACGGATTTTACTAATTTACTTCATACTTTTTTCAATTAATATATTTATTTATTTTACCAAAAAAAGGTATCCTGTCCTACTATGCTCCACCTACGTCTATTTGCAAGTTGATCAAAAGTTCAATCAAGTTGCGATTGAATTTTCTTAAATTTAAACAAAAAATTGCAATAATTTTTTAATTTGCATAAATTCTGGCAAGGAAAATGTATGAATGCAAACTCAAGACGTTTAAAAACAGTAAAAAATCTTAACTTTAAGTAAAAGAGGTTAAAGCTGTATAATGTAACTAAGATGAAATTTATTTATTAAATTAAACAATTATTTTTATTAATAACTTTAGTCAGAAGTTTATGTTGTAACCACAAAGTATTATACAAAAGCAATTTAAACATATTTTCTCCGTTTAAACAGTTTGTATTATAAGAAAGAGTGAATTATTTTTGTACCCATTCTTAGAACTAAAACTCTAATTATGACCATATTCTACAATCCTTGGGGCATATTTCGTAATTTTTGACCAATATTTCGTCACGAAATCACGCGAATTTTGTTGAAATGCGAATTCTCATTTATTTGATGCAGCTACTTTCTCACACGTGTATTATCTTAGTGCAGTTTTTTAGCTCTCTAACATTAATTTATTTGAGTTTTGCGTCATTTACACTGCGTGACGGGATGGTACAGAGGATAGTGCTCTTACTTGCCAATCAGTCTTCAAGGGTTCAATGCCTGACTTCGATTGAACACTCATACATTTATACTCATTTTATGTTTTATTTCCTAATCGATTGTGCAATCGATGACATGTTTCATTGAGCCTCAAAGCAGATAGCAAACAAATGAAATCAATGCAGATAGCAAACAATTTATAGAAAGTTCGAGCGAAGCATTTCTAGAGTCATTGTTTCGTCAAAGGAAAGAAAATTTTGTTAATTTTAAGTATGCATTTTGCACATTGCCGGACGCATCAAAACCTCATATTATCAAAAACATTTCTCCTCTGATAAACTGTAAGGATTCATATAAAAGTTAAATACTACATCCGAATATGTAATGATGCGTCTTGAATACATTGTGACTCTTTTGATTTAGGTTACATCGGATCATCGAATTTAGTCATTATAGTCTTCAGTGCATGTTACTTACCAGACCGTGCTAGACTTGACTACGATTACGTTATGGACAATCTTTTCTTGTAAGTATAAAAATATAATTCGTTATTTTTATTATTTGTTGAATAATCTTTCTAAGAAAAAGTAAAATAAAGTTTTAAAAAAACTGAGAAGGAAAATGAGAGTTTAATTTTGTTGGAAAATTTCCTGGATAATATTTGATTTCAAAATTGAATATCCAAAGCAAACTCAAATACACAAAGTCTTGTACACTATAAAAGTTAAACTTAAATAGTTGAATTTTTTTGTTGAATTTTAACTACCTATATTAATAGATATCTCTAAAACAAATCAAAATTGTTACCTAAACAAAATGTTAAAGATTTCATGTCAATTTCAAATTGGACATTAGAATGGTTATTCTTCTTCAGTAGTACAACAGCCCTGGGTGAGGCCTTCTCGAGAAGTTTTTCCCCGGCGTCTCTCCGTTCGGCGACTGTCCACCAATTTTTGGTTTTCAGAATGTTCATGTCCTTTTCGAAACTGTCGATCAACATAAGGCAATATCTGCCTCTTTGTCTAATTCCAATAAGCTTGGCTAAAAGTAGTTTTAAACAGTTTAGATTTTCTTGTATTCTAACCAGATAATCAACTCATTTTATCCTTAGTATCTTGAAGTATTTCATGACGTAATAGTTATTTATTGAATAAATCAACAAGTAGTCTAAATTTCGAAAATTGTTATTAAAATTGCACAAAATATTGCTAATACTATGGAAAATAAACATAATTTAATATTATTCTTAAAATTATAATGTATCTTTAATAAAGTGACATTAATATTTTTCGGTTATTATTGTTTTTGACATTAATGGTTTATGAATTAAGAAGGATAAGTAAAAGATATTATTAGTAAAACTTTTTAGCAGATATTTCTTACAGTGTAATTTCTATGTTATCGTACAAAGTTTAATTAATTTAAAACAAAGAGGGAAAAAAAGCAAATAATCCCAAAATTAATGAATATATTATATCTTTGAGTATTTTTTTTATCATCTAACAATTTAAAATATAAGAAGGAAATTTGAAATTGTATTATTGTACTATACTGTTACGTCACAAATTATTTACTACCGAGCTAGTATTTTTTTACTTAAAAAAAGCACATACAATTTAGCTATTAGGATATTCTATTCATTGGCGTATTAGCATTTCGTATCTCACCCTTGAAAAAATATGTGTGCTTTCATTAACTTTCCCTTCACCCTTCAAATAGATTCTAATTGAAATAAGTACTTTATCTTCGCATCACTGTAAAAAATTCGGGATCAAGTTACATGATAAAGTACCGGCACTTTAGCTTTAGTTGCATCATCCGTAAAATTCATTTTATCGTAAAATCCATTTTTACTGTAAAACATTTTACCGTAATTTTCACAACAATATTTATTTAATTAGAGTGATTCAGTGATTTTACGCTAATTATTACTGTAAAATTTACAGTATATTAGATTTTTTTTGTTCCGTAACATGTTTCGATAAGAATGAATTTTCTGGTAAAAAGTGCTGGCAGTTGAGTGCCCTTGAGTGCCAACACTTTTTACTGTAATTTGATCCGGAATTTTTTACAGAGTACGAACTTTCTAACTTTTTTTATTTTAAAAATATATATTATTCGTTTGCAAAAATCTGTTTTTCTGTTTTTCATAGTTTTAAATTATTATTAATCTCCTAAGACTCACCTATACTGGACAACATTTAATTAAACTTTATTACTTAATTAATGCTTCAAGATTTTTGTTTCTGTTTGTATCTCTTTACAAAGAAATTATCTATCCAAAAGCATAAATGGATTCACCTCAGAAGGAAGGATTTTTTAATTACATTAAAAAACTGTTAAAAAAATAAGAATTTCAATTCAAAAAACCTTTTTGATAGTATAATGTCATTTAAAGTTCCTGTTATTTGGATCTACGCTGTAAAAAATTCCAGATTGAATTATGGTGGGTGACTGTAGATTCTACGGTGAAATCCATTTTTACCGGAACATGGTACGAAACAAAAAATATGATATACCGTAATTTTTAAAGTATTAATTATCAAAAAATCACTGAATCAGTCTAATTAAGTAAATATTACTGCAAAAATTACTGTGTAATATAATAATAATTGAAAAATACTATAATAATTAAAAATAACTAAAAAATTTAAAAGTTTAATTAATTGAATTTAAACAAAAGATATATNTATATATATATATATATATATATATTTTCTTTAGGTACATATTTTTAAATAAAGATCACATTTTTCTGCTTATATTTAAAGTTTACACATATCAGGAGGTTGTTTGTTCAACCTTAATTTATAGATCAATTTTTTTATATTATTTTTGTAATTTATATCCAATTTTATGATTAAAATTATTTTTACTGATGATTATTTTTACTAATGAAACAAACTAAAAAAAGTGTAAAAACGTTCATTTATTTTTAGATACGTTTTGACAACCTTGTCTCAATTAGTTGCTGAAGACTACGTATTGATTTACCTTCACGGTGCCACATCTCGAAGTTGTATGCCGAGTTTTGGATGGTTAAAGCGTTGTTATCAAATGATTGACAGAAGGTGACAAAGGATATTATTTTCATAATGCAATTATTGCTTTCATAGCTCTTACTCTAAATTTGTATCAACAATTAGTAATAACAATTAGTATAGTTTTAAGTAAAACAAAATGTTAAAGAAACTAGTTGTTCAAAATAATAATTGTTTAATTGTTTTACTTCAAAATCATGAATCAAATCATGATTTACTATCATCTTAAAGTTGTATGCCGAGTTTTGAATGGTTAAAACGATATTATCAAATGGCTGATAGAAGGTGATAAAGGATATTAATTTCATTACAAAATTATTGCTTTTATATATCTCACTCTAAATTTGTATCAAAAATTAGTAATGACAATTAGTATAGCTTTAAGTAAGGCATTAAATTCTTAAAGAAATTAGTTGTTCGAAATAATAATTATTTAATTAGTTTTTTCGGAATTGGATTTAATTGGAGGAAGTTTTTTCTCTTTATTACAAGACATAAATTTCGAGAAAAAGCCATCTTAACACAGATTTAAATTCCATTTCAGTTTCCAAAAATTAGACTTAACAAAGTTAAAAGATGCTCATCTTAAATATTTATTTATTTTTCTTAGATATATATTACAACAATTATTTCTGAAACATTTGGTAGTGATTTTATACTTAAATAATGATTGTACTATTATTTAAAAATCAAAGTATATTCAATTAAAATAATCTAAAACTTTCTGTATCTGTGATTTTGTTGCTAATATTGAAGAAAGTACTTATTTTCCTTTAAACAGCATTTTTCAAAAAGTGTCAAATATGTTAGATATAAATAACGAGTTAAGATTACTCCTAAATGCTGTTGTCGTGTCTATATCAGTGCAAAATATTTCAAAAAAGTTAGGAGGATGAGCTTTGCGAGTTCTGGCACCTGGAGATTGTACAAGATGTCCTCTGAGGGCGAGCCGAGTTTAATCTATGGAGCTAGAAAAGCCTGGCAGTTAAAAAAGTGTTTTAGCGTTAATTGTGTTTGGGGGCAATATCTTTACTTCTAAAAAGTACAGATAAAGATAAATACAGACCCCTAAATAATACAGATACAGATAAAAAAGAAAAAAGAAGAATGCCTTAAAATTCTCGTAAGATTTCAATTTCGCACTATTTGTGTGGAATAAAATGTTGCCAACGAAACGAAAAAAACAGAGGGTTTGCTACCAGCTCAAGGTTTTTAAAATGGCACGCTACTTAAAAGATCAGCGTGGTATCATTGTTGAAAAATATTTTATAAATTGTTGAGTCCATTATTGTAATTTCTTGGTTTGGTTAAAAGAATTAGAGGCCGAGAATATGCTATTTAATGCATATTCTCGTTTCTCGATCGCATTTTCTCGATGTTTTTCTTCTTTCTCTTTTGTCTAAGATAAAGGATTTTATACCATTAATCCCATAATCACCTTATAAAAATAGAAAATTGAGCACAATATTAAAATTGCAACCACATTTATGCAAAATGGTCATGGAAAGCTGTGTGCCAACAAAAATGTTAACACACAGTGTTGATTGATAAAAATGTTAACACATGAATTAAATTTTTTTTTTATTTCATTTCCTTCGAAAAAATATTGACAGTTATGCCTTAACTTAAGTGGTAGAAAAAATTGATATAAATTATATTTTTTAAGCTCTACAGTTTTCATTATTATCTTCATTTTCTATGATACCCCCTTTCTAACAACTTATTACACCTCCAGTAAAATAATTGGCAAAAAATACGCATTATCCAAGAATTTATGGAAAAATCATATATCATGAAAAACCGTGTGTTTCAGTTGACAAATAAAAGTATTATCACATCAATTATAATTTTTTTTTCATTGAAAAAACATTTATAGTTGTGTGTGAAGTATTGTGGCAGTTAAAATTTATAAAAATGCAAGCATATTTTTTCGTTTTTCAGTTTTAGTTATTGTTTTCTTTTCTGTGATAGCATTTCTATGATATCATTTCTTATTACACATTCAATAATATTGTTGGGAAAAATATGCATTAGTTAAGAATTTATCGGAAAATTATATGCGTGCCTAAACTTTGTAGCTAACTGTTGTACATAACATAAAATATTCCTTATACGTGCAGCATTAAAAAGCAAGAATGTCTTTAATTTGGAATAAAGTACTTAAAAATTTGAATATTTAAAAGAGTTTTTGAACAATCAATACCATATTCTGAAAACTTAAAAATCCATCTGAATTTCAATGTCACGTTGCTTAAGTTGTTTCATCTGTTCTGTAGTTAATGTAAGGAGAAAACTATGCTGTTCATTCCGGAGCGGGTAGCGAAGCAACCTTGTAAAAGTTGTTTCACCTTTGTTTTAGTTACTGTGCAGGGAAAAATGCACAAAACAGAAAAAAGGGGAAACAATATTCGCCACATGTTGAGCGATCAAAAGGCATTCTTACATAAGTTGTGTGCTCTTAAAGATGCATTAAAAAAGAAAACGCATCCCACTTTAGCTAAAAAAAATTTATTAAGAGATATTTAAATTGATTTATAAAATTTTGTATAATTTTAAAGATAGTTATAAAGATTTATATAATTTGGAAACTCTCACTTAATAATCTTTTTTGCATAAAACCAAGTTAAAATAAAAGCTTGTCTATTTCAATATACAGAATAGATATTTTCTTTAACGCATACATTCATTTTCTGTCATTCCGAAAGGTTTAGTTTAGTAATATTTTCAAACGCTACACACTTAACGTTTTAACTTTTTCTACATTTTACATTATTAATCCTTAATAATTTAACTGCGTTTAATTTTGAATGAATCCTTAGATTTCTTGACTTATTTTTGTTTTTAAATTGGGAAGATAATAAAGTGACAAATTATAATTGAAACTTTTGTTTAGTAACATTTGCAATTGTTCCACTCTTGAAAAATGCGTCCCGCACACACTTTACGTTTTTACTTTTTCTATAGTTTACTTTTTCATTCCTTAATAAATTAATTTGGTTAAATTTAGATTATAATCCTAAGATTTCTAGACATATTTTTGTTCTGCAATTGCAATGATAATAAAGTACCGTAAACCGGGGTGAGTCTACCCATCCAGGGGCGAGTCTACCCATTTTAGTTTTATTTAATTTTCACTATTTTAAATTGCAAATAAATTTTTTTTTACCGACCGAGGACTTAGTTCAGACTCTAAGGAAGATGGAGCTGTAGTAGTTTGATCCGTTTTTATTTATTTGGTGTCTTTTTAACCGACCTGTTCAAACGTCTTTTGAGAGATTTGTATTGAAAATCAGCAAACTTTTAGTTGGTGCTCCGTAAGTATATTATTATTATTACTATTTTCACTTTGGTTAAGTGATAAACTTATCTAAGACTAAGATTACATTAATTTTATATAAAAAAAAACAAAAAGAATGTAAGTTTTGCTGTTGTAAACAAAAAGCCAGAATTCGCGGGGCGAGTCTACCCATTCGTATTTAGTTTTAATAAAGCATAATAATATAATTTAGAACTTTGTTTATATTAAAATTAAGTCATTTTAAATGAATTTGAGTATATTATTTTAATTCTGCATTGATAAATTTATCATTAATAAGAAAATTTATAGGTTAAATATAAATGTAAATATAAAATATGTTTATTTTACCTATTTTTTCAATTTTTATATTACAAAATTAACTTTTTTTATTTAATGCAAGTTAAATAAATTATTATTTATAAATTATTATTACCTCCCAAAAGAATGGGAAAAGGATTTTTCATGATTCCTAATGTTTGAATTTCGATTTTGTTAATAATCTTTAATTATTATTATTTATTAATTATTTAATTGTAAATTTATATTAATTTTAATTTATTTTTATCAACAATAATCAGAAAAAAATGTTATTTTATAATGTTAATGATTATAAAAACAAAACTGTGATCAAAATGTGATAATCGATCAAATACTCAATTTGTGTTATTTTATGAATAAAAAAATGGAATATATAATAAAGTTATGAATTTTACTTCATAAATATCCTATATAGTAACTAAAATAACAATTTAATAGTAAAATTTGATTATTTACAATGTTAACATTCATTTTAGTAGAATGGGTAGACTCGCCCCATACGAGAGATTTGTCAGCAGTTCTATAAAAATATACAGTAACAGCGTAACTGTTAATATTTTCTAAAATCGATTTCACAGCTTTAAAGAGGGATAAATATTAAAGGTATATTATCTATTAAAAGCCTTTTTTCTTTAATATTTACAAAAGTTTGACCACTTGAAAGTTGACAAACTGAAAAAAATGGGTAGACTCGCCCCGGTTTACGGTAATAAATTACGAGTGGTTGCTGTCCCATGCAATTCACATGCAAATTAATCTATATTTTACCTCGAAACGTATTTTGTTATTATATTATCGTAACGTATTATATTATCGATGTTTGAAATATTTTTGCATCAAATGTAAATGCATGAAAATACGTTGTATAAAAAATTTTAGATAAAACTATGATGTCTGATTTTCTAGCGAGACATGGAGGAATAGCCCTTAAGCAGTTTTTTTCGGCTTTTTATCCACACACTTAACTTTAATAAAAAATATGTCTTAGTAGATATTTTAATGTGAAAGCAATAAGAATGATAAATTAGAAGTAACCATGAATCAAAAATTTCATCTTTACCGCGTGAATGTTACGTAACTAAAGGGTATTCCAAAATTCATGCATATGTGAATAGATTTTATTTTATATCCTGCGTTAAAGCAAATGACTATCAATATATTGATTGGGAGACAAGTTTTCTATACCCCGACCGACCACGGTTTATGATGTGAATAGAAAAAAAATAATGTAATGTAATAAAGTAATAGGTATCTAAAGGGTATCCCAAAATTCATGCAAAATATGAATAGATTTTATTTTATAGCCTGCGTTTAGGGAGGCAAGTGCTCTATTCCCCGCACCACCACGGTTTACGATGTGAATAGACAAAAATAATATAATGCAATAAATTAATACAATGTTATAAAATAATATAATGTTACAAAATAATATAATGTTATAAAATAATAAAATGTTATGTGAATTTTAAAAAATAGTAAAAAAGAAACAATCAAATGTTGCCAAAGAAATTGGGACAACCGACAGTTCAAAGTTACTAAAAATGGAGCTCTACACAAAAGAGAGACTTGTTTTCCTAATTGAGTACAGTTTTGGGCAGCATTTTTAGGTCGTGTAAATTCCAGTTTTGGTGATCAGATTTGACCAACCAGGTCATACAATTTAATACTTAGGGTTTTTCTCAACAAGACTATCACTATTCACGTTTTGAAGGAGGAATTTAAGCGCAGCATCAACGAAACTCAACAATAATTTTTGAAATATAATTGAGAATTTCAATGAAAGCATGCGTAGAGGCCAGAAAAATCATGGATGCCATTTACCTCTTATGTTACTCCCCACTTATACCCTATACACATAATTTATCCATTATGAGTCATTGAAATCTTCACAATATTCATCGAAATATCAAAATTACTTTTTACGTAAATTTTGAAATGTTTTAAATCAAAGGTGGTGTGTATTTCGAGTGACATGTCAAATTACCAGTCAAATTGATTACACTGATGGAGTCTAAATATGGAAAAGTATATAAATGTATGAAAAGTATACTTTGTATATACTAATATAAGTAAATAAAAAAGTTTATTTATAATATGTATTTTTTTATTTTAGGTTAAGAAAAAACTTAAAAGGATTATACTTAGTACACCCTACATTTTGGTTGAAAACTATCGTAATAATGACAAAACCCTTTATCAGGTAATATTGACAGTTCTTTTTCAATTTTTTTTTTCATCACCAACCATGGTTGATAATATATTAAAAATGTATTATTACAAGAAAAAATTATGAGGATTTCTAAAAATACGTTTAATCGAAAATGTATGATAAGTTTTATAATATTTTAAAAAACAAACGTAAGTAATATCGAAAACAAATGTCATCAATTTTTTAATATCAGAATCCCTACCAAAATTTACTGCCCAGACCAGGCAATTCTCACGATATATATATATATATA